TCACTGCCACACCTGCTTTAACAGGCGGTGACAGAATCCAGACTTTTGGTCACATCCTGCCCTACAACCTAAGACAGAGGGGAGCGACCCCCGCGTGTCCCACCGAGCGATTTGTGACCCCCCCAAGGCTGGGAAAAGCTCCCGAGCTCTGGGACTCACGGTGGGGACGTGCTGGGCTCTTTTGCAGTGTTCCTGGCCAGCTTTGGCACCCTCTCGGCCATCCGCTACTTCCGACGCCAGGTCAGGGAAGGGCACCCCCGGACTTAACCCCTGCCACGCCGGAGCCGCTGCCCGAGGCTGCCGCTTTGCTGTGGACAGTGGAGCCAGCACCGAGGATTCCTCCGGCCCCATCCGGACTGGACAGGATGACAAAGGGAGAGGGACCCTCCCGGGGACAGGAACTGACGGTAGGACAGCACAGGACAGCACAGGACAGCACAGGGGTGGCTCTGGCCTTCCCTGGGGATGCCCGGTGGCACCGCTGGTCCCTCCTCGCTGCTGGAGGCACGGAGGATTCAGGGAAGTGTTCCATCCCGACAAAAGGGCCGGGATAGCTGTGAAGGACGACAAGAGAGCTTTGGGAAGAGCTTGGCTAAGCCTGGGCTGGGCAGAGCTCCCTTGGCAGAGCCCAGCGCTCCCGTGACCGCTCCCATCGCTCCGGGAGGGCTCAAATCCTCTTGGGTTTCACTCCGAGAAATCCGAGCTCGCTGCAGCGGCTCGGGGGATGAGGTTTCTGTCGCACGTGGCCACCGAGAGCCACCCGAGCCACAGATGGGTCTGGTTTGTCCCTGGGGACACGTCCCCATCCCGCAGGAGGGGGCGGGCAGGGGTCACACGGGGGAAGGGGCGGCCGGGAGGGTCCTGCGGGACCAGCACAGGGTGGGAAGGGCAGAGGAAAAGGGGCTGAGCTCAGGGAAGTGCCAGGAAAGAGGAGAGGAGGATGTTGGAAGGATGTGGGAGGGTTTGGCTGCTCCAATCAGCAGGGAAAGGCTCTGGATATTTAATTTATTTCATTTTGTGCCCCCCGTCCTAGATCAGCAGGGAAAGGCTCTGGATATTTCATTTATTTCATTTTGTGCCCCCCGTCCTAGATCAGCAGGGAAAGGCTCTGGATATTTAATTTATTTCATTTCGTGCCCCCCGTCCTGGAGAGGCAAAGTGGGATGAGAGGAGTGTGGAATCTGTGGGGCTGGGGAGGGCTCGAGGAGGCCTGGAATAGAAAAGCCAGGGGGAAAATGAAATTATTCAGTTTCTCCCTTTCCCCAGTGCCTCCCTCAGCTCTCCAGGGCATTATTGAGGAAGAATTTCCTTCCCTCACCAGTGTGGAAATGGCCCCAGTGTGGGATTGGGATGCACAGAGTAGTTTTCTCCTGAAAGCAGAGAGGGTGAGGCCTGGAAAGGTTTCTTTTCTTGTGCTGAGGGTGTAGTGAAGATTTAAGAGGTGCAGGGGTGGGAATC